ACTAGTAGCTGGGAGAACTCTCTCTCTCTCTCTCTCTCTCTCTCTCTCAAAAATAAATAATTTTAAAGAAAAAATGCAAAGCAATAATGACATTCATCAGTTCATAATTTCCCAATCCCTCATAACTATTAGCATGTTACAGTTTACAAAGCATCCAACAAACCCAGCCTCTTGAGGTAAGGGGCTTGCCAGGGCCACGCGGTGAGCTGGTGGCCAGAGTGTGACTGACTCCTAACCCAGAGCTCATCTGTCACTGCCATGGAAGGGGGTCACAGGAAGAAGGGCCTGGAGTTGGTCGGCCAGCTCTTGATTCTCTTGCTGAGTTATTTTAAGCCAGTTATCTAACTTCTGTAAGTCCCAGCGTCTTCATTAGTAAATGGGACCAATTCACAGAGGTCGGCATGATGAGAACTGCGTGAGGTGTCCAGCCAAAGACCATCCATCACCTGTGCCACGGAAAACCCTGAGCAAGTCAGGGCATCAGTGTTAGGAGTTTGATGAGGATTGCGGTGATAATGCTGACAGGTAACAGAATTCACTCCAGGTGGTTGCCCCCACCACCACCACCAAGATGGTGAGACACTCAGGGTCTAACCGCAGAAGGAAACTGGCACACCTGGGCCCCGGGCAGGAACGGCAGAGAAAGACGTGCAGCATTAGCAGAGCCCGGTAGGAGGTGGGGCCATCTGGTGGGAGACGGCATGGACTTCAGAGCAGGGAAGATGTACTGGGACCTCTCGCCTGCCCTCCTGTCGCCAGCTCCTTCCATTACCTCCCTTAGGGAAACCCAGAGACCAAGCACGAGGAGACTCCACAGTATTAAATAGGCAGAGTGTCTGGGGGAAGCAGGGTGGGTGGCAGGTTGTTCTGCAGTGGTGAGAGGGAGCGGCTCTCCTCCCATCACCCTGCTTAGGTAGCCAAGGTTGACGTGCCGGAGAGCCTGGTTCCACGGGGAATGTCCTCCCACTGCCACTCCTTCTCCCCAGCCTCTCCTTTCTCTCCGTTAAATGCCAGTTTGGGGGTGAACCATGACCAACCTCCCATCCATTCCAAACACTTACTGAATTCCAAATATTTACTGAATTACTATAGTAAGCCCAAAACATCTCCAAAAATGTTTTTAAAAGAAAATGCAAATAAGGCGCATATCTGTCAATGTCTCTAGTCACTAGGTACACGCCGACGAGAGGAAAAAGTCATCCACCTATTTAAGAGCCTAACGCGCCTCAGTCTTGTGGACATTTGCTTCCGAGGGGATGTTCCTTCTCCATTTATCCCTGACCCCTAGCTGGAGCCTTGATCTTGATCTTGATCTTTATGATGATGATGATAGTAGCTAACATACCTGGAGCACCCACTATGCACCAGGGACCACAGGGACCAGGAGCATGTGTTAACTCATGTCAGCCTTAGCTTCCCGTATGAGGAAACCAACGCACAGAGAGATTTAATTCTGGCTCAGGGTCACACAGCTGGTCAATGAGAGATGCATCCTTCAGGCCCAGGGTTCCTGTGACACTTAAAAAGAATATGCCTGTGCAACATGGCCCTCTTAGGTGGCCCTCATACAACGTTGCCTATATGAAATACCGATGTGTTGATACTTAAGGTTCATGGGAAGGAATGAAGTCGGTGCCCAATGGTTCACTTACTCAACAGACATTGAGCACTTCGGATGCGAGGCCAGCCCCTAGGAACCGAAAGGAAGGGAGAGGCAGACTTGAGCCAAGGCAGAGAGGCTATAGGATTCCTGCCTAGGAAAGTGCAGTGGCTCAGGCGGATGGGCCAGAGCCGGGAGTGCCTTTGTTCTGATCGAGAAACTGGCAACCATCTGCAGGCTCAGCAGGGCAGCTTGCAGGGCCCAAGTGGGATAGTGGCATGACCTGAGCTCAGCCCATTCATCCAGCACAGCCCACAAAGGCAAGAACATCTAGCAGTTATGTCCATGTGCCAAGTTCAACATCCTGAGTCACAGTTCTGGCTCCACCAGTCAAGAGCTGTATAACCTTGGGCAAGATGCTTAACCTCAGAGCTTCTGATCTATAATTTGCAGATAATTTTAATATGTATATTCAAAGAACTGGCATGAGGATTAACAATGTTATCCCATATCATAATAGTAAAAGTAAGAATTGGCTGCTAATCATAGTCTATTAGCTGGTATTGTTGATGCCATTATTAATACTCTTATGAGTGAGTGTCTGGTATTAGTGATGGCTAACATGTGAGTCCTCATTATTATCACCATCATTACTGTCACTCAGGGGGTGGGAGGAAAATGCTCGGGGACACAGAAGCAGCAGCCGCGGTAAATCCTCATTCAGATGAGAACACAATGGTGCTCTGGCTGGAAAGCCAGTATCGGTCACGATAGCAATTCAAAGTGTTACAATCAGCCTCTCAAAAATAAACGAGGGAGAATGAAACAGGAGGCACAGTGCATTGCTCATCATGTGGTAAGCTTTCGTCCATATTTTGTTGCTAGTTTACACCTTTCCATCCACTCGTGTATGGGTTCACAACGTGTGATGTTTTTCTTACTGTGGGTTATAGTCAAGAAAATGTTAAAGACCTTGGAGTAGAAAGTATCGTCTCCAGCCTTTCCTGTCACTCACTCGGGGACTGTCATCTTGGCAGCCAGTGTAGGGAGGCAGAGTATCTAGATGGCCCCACAGTGGAGCACAGAGTCCTGGCTTTGGGCCCCTGTCATGTAATCTGATTTCTGTGTATCCCAGCTCATGCCCGTTGCTCCAGCATACCACTCCTGGAATAGTTTGAAAATTGGAAACCAGAAAGAGTCACTTATCCATCTGGATTGGCTCTAGGTACAACCGCAAAGCATTCTGGTCTACCTGGGGATGCCAGCCTCACTGCCAATCACATGTGACCTTAGGCAGGAGGCGATATGACCCTGGGTCATATCTATAAAATGGAGATGAAAACAGTTATCTTAGATGCTTCATAGTTACTAAGAGGCCCCAAGAAAATCACAAATGTTTGCGCTCTAAAAAATACAGAGAATTGCATTGGGGGGATTTCAGGACCCTTAACAAATCCCATAGAGCAAAGTGATGCTGACTCCAGGCTAGGACATCCATTTGGGTCTAGATAGTTCATTCACAAAATAGACGGAGGCTTTTGCACAGGAGCCAAACTAAGACTCGCTCTGGAGAGAGGCTTGGAGGCCTTAGGATGGAAGAGAGTATGATCAGGCCAAAGGACTGCCTCTTCTGTCCATGACTGAAGGCAGAACCCACAAACCAGTAACCCTCAGACCAAATTCCCCCTGCCCCAGTGTTTTATTTGGTCTGCATACTATTTTGAAATAGAATGATAATTATGGACATTTTTAAATTGCACACTTGACAGCTGACTTTCCAGTTTATCTTAACCATTCACAAGACACCCCTGCTTCCCCACTGCAGCACGGGCAGGTGCTGAGTACCCACTGCCCCCAGGACAGACCCCTGACACCAGGACCTGCCAGTCGCTCTGCTCTTTCTCTAACAGGACACTGAAACAGGGAATGTTGTATGCACCCATGTTGCTCTGCAAAATGGAGCAAGGAAAAGACAGGACTGAGCAGAGGTGGCACCTCAGGTGCAGTTTGTGGATTGCATTCTGCCCATCTCCTGACCGGAGCCAAAGGAAGACATTGGAAGGAGAAAGCAGGTGATAAGGCCGGCACCGTGGCTCACTAGGCTAATCCTCCGCCTTGCGGCGCCAGCACACGGGGTTCTAGTCCCGGTCAGGGCGCTGGATTCTGTCCCGGTTGCCCCTCTTCCAGGCCAGCTCTCTGCTGTGGCCAGGGAGTGCAGTGGAGGATGGCCCAAGTGCTTGGGCCCTGCACCCCATGGGAGACCAGGATAAGCACCTGGCTCCTGCCATCGCATCAGCGCGGTGCGCCGGCCGCGGCGGCCATTGAAGGGTGAACCAACGGCAAAGGAAGACCTTTCTCTCTGTCTCTCTCTCTCACTGTCCACTCTGCCTGTCAAAAAAAAAAAAATAAATTAAAAAAAAAAAAAAAACAGGTGATAGCACAGCTTACAGATCCCCAGGGTGCAAAGTAGGGGCCACAGAACGAGGAGGAGGAAAGACGAGAGGGCGACTAGGAGGTCCCCTGGCTCAGACACCCCAGCAACACGCAGCTGTGTGCGGCACGCCCTGTGCTCCCCAGGTGCTGAGGGGGGCACTGCTGAGGCCCCTGAGTCTCTAGGTGATTGGCTGGAAGGACCCAGCAGCATGAGGGGGAGCACGGGGTCCCCCAGGGAAGCAGACTAGAGCAGGCTTCAGAGCCAGGCAGGTCTGGGTTCCCACCTGGCTCTGTCGCCGGCATTGCAGGGACCTTGAAGGAGGCTCCAAACCTCAGTTTTCTCACTGGGTTGGTAGCTGGTTAGACAGCTGTTTCCGAGGTACCTACCTTGCAGCAGAGCTTGTTCAGGTGCCAGAGATTAGGGGAGAAAGCAGATAAAGGGCACTTGCTCTCTGGGAGCTCACACGCTAGGGGCAGGAGACAGGAAGTGAATCATTATATAAGCATCCGTGTGTGATACCTGAGGGTTGATTGGTTATGCCCTGGCTCATTTCCACACACGCAAAAGTTGGCGAGAGTAGCATCTGAGGATGGAAACCATTTGATGAGATAATATGTGCAAAATGTGTATTCCGGTGCCACATGGAGTCTTTCATTTGGCTAGGAGCCCTTGGGAATGCTAGGTCGGCCCGGTCTCAGCCGGCCCATGGCAGGAATAAAACAGGTGCACTTCTGGTCCGGGGGTGGCACTACCCACCCCAGCGCGCTCCGGCCTTGGCGTCACTTCCTTGGTAAGCTCACTGAAGCAGAGGCCGAGGCATCTTCCCGGTGGACAGAGGAAGCCACAGAGATGGGATTGCGTGCAGGGGCCCTCGCGCTGCCTGCGTGGCGGTGAGGGAGCAGGTCTCTGCTACGTCATCACGAGGCCCCAGCTCACGCCCTGTCTTTGGTTTCCCCTCGGTTCCAGGCCGCGAGGCCTTGAGTGCGGCGAGGCCCCTGCCGGTGGATGTGGAGGAGCGCGGGCCGGGGGCCATGGACGTGAAGGAGAGGAAGCCCTACCGCTCGCTGACCCGGCGCCGGGACGCCGAGCGCCGCTACACCGGTTCGTCGGCCGACAGCGAGGAGGGCAAAACGCCGCAGAAGTCCTACAGCTCCAGCGAGACCCTCAAGGCATACGACCAGGACGCCCGCTTGGCCTACGGCAGCCGCGTCAAGGATATGGTGCCACAGGAGGCCGAGGAATTCTGCCGCGCAGGTGAGGGCGGGCCCAGGCGCAGGTGTCCACCTGGGCCAGAGCCCTGCTGGGCCGGAACCGAAGCAAGGGTGGGGGTAGCCAGTTGTACACCAAGTCTCCGCTATTTGGGCGCCTGGATCTGGTTAACGAGCCTGGCCTGTCACTCACTCTTCATGCTTTATTTCCCTTCCCCCTCCACCTAGCCAGGTGGGATAGGGCGCTGGCCTCTGGTGTCAGCTGCCCTGAGTTGAGTTAATTAGGGTCTCTGAGCCTCCCCCCTCATCTGCTGGACAGGCAAGAGTGATCCCCCACCCACCCACCTGCAGAGACTTGCAGCACCCAGTAAGTGCCAGTCCTTCTGAGTTGTTATTTATTCAGTCAACAAACTCTCAACTTCTTTGTATCAATCCCATGTAGCTTTGAGAATAAGACATTGCTGAGATGCTTAGAACTTAGCATTTAATAGTTGAGAGGCTAAGTCAGTGCCTGACCCTCTCGTGTTCGCGTCCCACACTCAGTATTCACTGGTGCCTGTCCAGCCTACCTGGAAGACTTTCCCAAGCCACTCCTCCTCGCTGCCACTTCCCGGTGCCAGCCTCCACCATCTCTCGGAGGGTTAACCACTGATAGTCCTCCACCCAGAGCTGGCTCCCGGGGCCATTCTCTGCACTGCAGCCAGAGTGAAGCTGGGGGACGACCCTGCAGCGCCCTTAAACTGAGCCCCTGAACCTGGCCCAAGAGGGCCTTCCCAACTTGCTTGTCTTCCTAGATGCTGTCCCCTGCCTATCTGCACTCGCCACCCATGGTCCTGCCCCACTAATCCAAGCTTGGTTCACACACCTGCTGCCATGGTGCCTTCCTACACGGATGCCCCAGTGATAGCTGTTTTTCTGCCTGCAGAACCTGGAGCCCTCTCTGCTGCCTGGTGGGTCACTACCTGCTATGGTTTGATCATGATTTGGCTCCCTAACTAACCCTAGGTTTGAGTCCCAAAGTCATCAGTTCTTGGCGTTTAGGAGGTGCACCTGCTGGGAGGTCCTTAGGTTCCTAGGGGCGTGCCCTCAGAAGGTAATTCCCAGGAGAGAGTTGGTTACATAAGCCTGAGTCAGGCCCAGCCCACTCTCTCTCCTTCCTGCCTTGCCTGTGACCCTTCCTCTGTACGCCTCTGCCACTGATACCCTCTGAACTCACCAGACCGCTGAACCAGTAGGCTGCACCTGATCTTGGACTGTGAACCTCCAAAACCGGGAGGAAAAATCAGCCTTCTTCCTTCATAAGTGACTTCCTCAGGTGTTCTGTTACAGGGATGAAAAGCCGACTCATACACCACCAATCCCAGATGAGCCCTTCCCTCTTTCTCCATGGACACGGTCAGCCATGCATTGGGCTGTGAAATGTATGTACATTTTTACAGTATTGTGGAATCTGTCAACAAGGATGCCCCAGACCACAGCAGAAGGAGGTCACTGTCTCTCTCTCCCACACACAAGCCTATCCAAGGCCTTCTCATTGCCATTCTTCCCCACAGGCCTGGATTCCCAGGAAAGTGACCTGTTAGCAGGGCTGCCTCTTGCACTTGGAAAAAGAGGGCTCTGCAGCTGTTGCCCAGTTTGTGGTTCAAGAGCTTAAGCTCTAGCACCCAAGAGATCTGGGTTTGAACTCTGGCTCTGCCATTGCTAGTGCTCTCAGCTTCCCCAACTGTGCAATGGGACCACAGAACCTAAGATGACAGAGGATTGATGAGGACTGGAAATAAGCACTCGACACTGGTGCCTGGCACAGACCAGCTGCTTTGTAATTGCTCTTGGCTCTGATTTACCACCTCTGAGTCTCAAAATGTGGGGAGGAAGAAACACAAAGGTTCTTCTAGCTCTGTCCTGCCCCACTTAGATGCTGCCCTCGCACATGAGGGTCAAGAGAGGAGCCCATCTCATCTCTGGAACAACCAAGGAACGTGCTCATTTCAGCAGCAAGCAGGTGCTTAGCATTTCACAAAGCTCTCTTCCCTTCCATGACTACCCTCGATCCTCAAAAACTCTTAAAGGTACAGGTCGGGGATGACCGTCCCACTGAAAGGCAAGAACGTGGAAGCCATGGCAATCAGTGGCCCAAGATTGCAGAGCCTGGTGTTGAGTGAGGCAGGATGTTGACCTGTGTCCTGACTCCTCAGGAAACAGGCCAAAGGGACATAGAGGTAGCAGACCCCAAGGACTCCTCACAGCTGATGAAATCTTACAAGCTCACACATCACAGGGGCCAGCTGGCTGTGCAACAGCACTGAGTCCTAGGGGTTGGTTGTGCTCTTGCATCGTCCCAGTCCAGAGACGCCTCAGGTCCCTCATCTGGGTGCTGAGAGTCTGGATTCTCAAAAGGCTATGCAGGGCGAGCCATATGGAAGTCAGTGCAGCCCAGGCTGTTTGTGGCAAACAAATTTGATTTCTCACTAAATGGAGCAGTCATTCTTCATAACATGTGAGTGGCCTCTCCTGAGAGGGCCAGCCCAATATTGCAGAAAGCTGGGCTGGGGGAGGGGAGCAGGACAGGAGTGCAGACTGTCATTCAGAGAGGGGCCAGGGAGTGGGGTGCGTGGAGAGAAGGAAGTGGACTGAGGGATTTGGGCTCCAGTTTGGAGGTTTTTTTTTTTTCGTTAGAAGGCAGGCAAACTATGAGGGCAGATTGGAGTATGACACACAGGGGTGAGACTCAAAATACTTCACATCTGGTCTGGCCCTGGCCGTAGCCAATCAGAATGTCTGCCTGGCCACTGAAGACAGCCCAGAGGCACCTGCTATGCCAAGCCTGCTGACACCAGCCATTTGTTTAGAAACTGGATCAGGAGGGAATGGGGAGTCAGGGTAGGGAAGGTACTGGAGTAGGCAGAGCAGAGCCTGGGAGGCACTGAGGTGGCTCAGAAGCCAGTGACGGTATTTACCAACCATTGTGGGAGTCTCACATGACTTAAACCTGAAACCAAGGCTGTGCCCTCATGAGCCGCCTGGGGAGCAGATTCGGGCACACCACCTCCCACTGCCGCAGCCTCGCTCTGCAGCCTGTGTTACTGCAGCACCCCAACCTGTCTCCCTCTTTTGTTATCCATGCTGCAGAGAGCTGCCAGAGTGTGTGTGTTTCATTTACTGAGTGCCAGCCCTGCAGTAGGGGTGACAGGTGTTGGATACAGAGATGACAAGGCCACTCCGGGAGAGCAGGGTTGTTGAGTAAGAGTGAGACCCAATTGTAATAGGACGCCGTCTCTGCTGCCTTTCCCTGCTGCCTCTCTGGCAGCTCCTCCTCCTAGTCCTAGCCATGGTTATAGGCTTGGGCATCCACCTCTCCTGTCTGCTCTGTTCCCGTGTGCTCTCTGAGCCCCCACCCACCAGACATCTCACATTCTGCCTCTGTGCTCCTCACTCTGGATTTTGCTCCTTAGTTTTATGTTTGAGAAACACTGTGCTGTCAGCGCCGTGGAGCTAGGCACCACTGCTCATTGCTGTATCTCCGCGAATACCCAGGGTCAGCAGGAGCTGCTGCCGTTGTGGGCACTAGCTGATCATCAGTCTATTTCGCCAGATCGGTGGTTTGATTGGGAATGACACTTAGTGCTTTCCTACACCCCTCTTCCTTAACCCCTGAAGACAATTGTGGAATATGAGAAGCGTGGGAGGGGCTGTCCCTGAGTAGCCGTTGAACTGACATTCAGGAGTGACACAGATGCCCTGCTCCCTGCTCAGTCACTGTTCTCCTTGCCCCTGCAACACTAACCTTGGGAAACTCCACTCAGCCACATCTGCCCCTGCCTCATTCCTGGGCATCCTGAGTCCTACCTGAGCCCCTAAAAGACCGGTTTCTGCTGACTGCCTGCAGCAGTCCAGCCCCCTTTCCTTGTGCAAGGCTGATTTTGCTGGTCACCAACTTCTTCACACTCCTGATCTGGGTGCTCCTGAACTGCTGGTCCCAGGGGCGCCACTTAGGGCTCATTGGCTGGGCTTCTGCCCCGCTCCAGACGTACTGGCAAGTCCTGCCCGGGGGAGGAGATCAGAACCCTCCATGAAACTTACCGGACATTAATTAAGCTCCTTCTGAATATGGATTTAGTTGTAAGCACAAGGATTTAGGAATGAACAAGAGGTTAGGTCCTCTCTGGCATAGTCAGGCCCTGCAGCCCCACTGTGCAGTGTGACCAAGGCCAAGGACTGGAGAAAGGGCAGAAGGCAGCAGCAGCAGGTTCTTCCCAGATGTAGGCACTGAGAGACAGAGCAAGTGCGCCTGATTAGGGCCCTAAGAGAAGTGGAGGATTTGGGCTGGTGGAGAAGGGGCAGGAAGAGCCCTACAGGCAGAGGAAGTAGCTAGAACTAAAGGCATGGACGTGGAACCCCCACAGTCGGTTCCAAGAGCCACCATGAATCCTGGGGGAGGCTGGGGCTTCTGCTGGAGACGCTGACATGGGTTCACCTGTTTCTCCTCCCAGGTGCGAATTTCAGCCTGCGTGAGCTGGGGCTGGGGGAGGTGACGCCTCCTCATGGGACCCTGTACCGGACGGACATCGGCCTCCCCCACTGCGGCTACTCCATGGGCGCCAGCTCCGATGCCGACATGGAGGCCGATACTGTTCTGTCCCCCGAGCACCCCGTGCGGCTGTGGGGCCGGAGCACGCGGTCGGGGCGCAGCTCCTGCCTGTCCAGTCGCGCCAACTCCAACCTCACGCTCACAGACACGGAGCACGAGAACACGGAGACTGGTAAGTGGTCCGTTTGGCCTATGCCAGGCATGGAGGTTGTGGGCTGGGGTTTTTGCCACAGTATTGATCTTACGCCCTGTCGCTTCCGACTCTAGTGAACTTGGTGAAACTGCTTTGCTCTCAGTGGTCGAAAGTCAGAGCCTCATGCACAGTCATGTGACATAGCCCCTTGTGGGTGACCTGCCAGGATTGGCCACTGCCCTTTCTGTCCAGATCAGGGAGGTGCCGACAGGGCTGGGCTATTGCTTGCTAGGTGCCTATGTTTGGAGGAACAGAGGGGACACGGGACAGTGTCCTCTATGGAATGAGCAGTGCCTGGTCCTGCCTGAGTCCGCCTTGGGCAATCTCCAGCCTCCAGGTGCCCGACATTTTGTGTTGGTCAGAGGATGGAGACTCCACCCAGACTACCATTTAGGGAAAATTTGAAACTCCTCGTGGAGGGGAGATGTTGATCAAAGGGGAAATAAGTGTGCATGGTTTACGAGTTGCGCAGCATAGTGACTGCAGTTAATAAGAATGTCCTGTGTTCTTCCCAATTGTTAGAAGAGTACACTTTGAATGGTCTTACCACACATACAAACACACATGAAAAAGTGAGGTGATAATATGTTGATTGATTTGATTGGGTTGTTCTGGAATGCACCCACACAAGGTAGCTGCCGACTGCTGACGGCACAGTGGTGTGAAAGTGTACCCGTCCCACCATTCTCTTTTCACTTCGGAGGCAGTATTCAACAAATCACATGCGATACTCAGCTTGACCACGGAACAGGCTCTGTGTTAGGTGATTTTGCCCACCTGTCAGCTTCTGTGAGTGCTGAGAACATGATTAAGGTAGGAGATGCTAAGTTGTGGTGTCTGGTAGGTTAGGTTATTAAATGCCGGCTTGACTTGCGAGGCTTTGGACTTTGGTAACTCCACTGTCCATGAGAGAGAGCCTTAAATTCCAATCATCTCATCATAAGTCAGGAAGCATCTGTATGTCAGGACCACATTGTACCCCATTAGTCCCATGGATGACTGCTTGTCAACTCAAAGTCAAACAAAAATCATGGAAATGACAAAACATGAGAATCTTCGCTGCAACTTCCCCGCAACCTCTGGAGTGCTAGCTCCAGACTCCTTCCTCCATCCCCGTCGCTGCTCCTCCCCGGGGCTGGGAGGTGTGTGGAGAAAAAGATGACAGCTGGTCTACCTGCCGCCCTTCACTGCTGGTGGGAAGGGCTCACTTTCGAGGCTTTCGGCAGCCCTGCTGGAGCTGAGCTCCGGGGATATATCATTGTCGGCCATGTTTTACACCGGGCAGCACCAAGGAGGGTCCTACTGGGGTCTGACGGTGAAGCCGAGCTCCCGAGGGGGACAATGACCTCCACACCTCTAAAGTTCCTCTCTCCCCACTAGGGAACCATCTGCACTCCCACACCCACCTTCCCACTGACACCCAGGCAAGCCAAAGTCCCCCACCCCTACCCCACCATACACTGCCCAGGAACCCGGGATTACAGGGCAGCACGGGGCCTGGCACTGCAAAAATAGGGACTGGAAGCCCCAGCTTCATCCCTGGCCCAGGGTGTATCCTTGGGTGGGGTGCATCCTCTCTCTGGGCCTCAGTTTCCTTTCCTCTAAAATGATGTATGTGAAGTCAGTTTCCTGTGCTCTGAGAATGTTGATGGTTCTCAGGTGGAGGAACGTAGGAGACGCTGCGTCACACAAGCAGCTTTACTGCAGGACTTCTCGGGGCCTTTGGGGTGCCATTGTGCATCTCCAGCCACTAGCGGGACCCGTGTTCTGAAACACTTGGCTACAGCTGTCCTGCAGGCCTTCCCAGCATTCTGTGATTGTCCGTGCTCTCGTGCCCCAACTGAAAGTGCACGAGAGGGAACCAGCCGTGATGACCTGAACGGTTCCAGCTGACCGGCCCCCAAACGCGGGGCGCAGTGCCTCAGGCCTGTGACCGCATGTCTTCTCCCAAAACCCTTTTAAGTCGGTTCTGTTGCCCCCACCGCACAGTATAACGAAACTGCAGCCCAGAGAAGTTAAGAGACCGGCACAATCACACAGCAAGGTGAGGTTGCGGCTTCGGCCTATGATGCTTCATTCTTTACTCTCATAGCCCTGGCTCGAGTGAAAGACTTGGGTTGCTTGCTCTTTGGAAGGCTTCTGGCCATGGTGACAAATGCCCATTCTCCATGAAGTCCTGACGGGGTGGGGGGTGGTGTGCATCGCCCACAGTGGCTGTATATTCCCTGAGAGCTGAATTACGGCTGAATTGGGCTTCTGTTGGGGGATAATGACATTCAGTGAGCCTGAGGAGCTTCAGCCTTGGATAATGAGGACAGGAGACTGTGGCCTGCTGCCCCTGCCACGCTGCCCTCTCTGTCTCACACCTCACTTTCACACCAGCCACAAAACTCTAGGCCTGTGTACTCAGAGCAGGCCGGCAGCCCAGGGAGCTGGGCAGGGGACTCTAACAAGAGGCCCCTGGCCTCCTTATCCCTTCCCTGCCTGGACGTCCCAGGCCAACACACTTGTCCACTTGCTTCCCACAGGGGAGGGTTACAGAAACAGCTTTGCTAACTCTTGGGTCCACATCATGACGCTGAACGTAGGAATGGCTCACTTTATTCACCGTGCGCTCCCCTACGCCACCCTATCCCCAACGTGGAGCTTGGGAACCAAGATAGAGAGAGCCCAAGGGCGTGTCCAGCTGAGGTAAAGCCAGGCTTGTCACAGGGTCTTGGTCCCCACTCCCTGCTCCCCCCCCACCCCCACCCCACTCTCCCATCCGCGTCGCTGGCCCCAGCTCTCGCCTGTTTCCTCTGATGAAAACGCAGATCTGACTGTCGGAGTAGAGATGGATTCCACCTGACGTGTTAGCTGACATGTGACAGTGTGGCCATTTTCCAGTAGAGGGCCACCAGCCACCTTGTGCCAAGGGCCTGTGGCAGGCACATGGGAGAGCCCCTTCATCCTCATGGTAACGTAAGGGCATTCCGTTTGCCAGATGAAAAAACTGAGACTCCAAGCAGGTCAGCTGACACCACCACCAGCACGTCGGCAAAGCTCAGCTCGCAACTCGGCTCGCTCTATCCTTTAACCTGGGCCTGGTGAAGTCAGTGAGGGCACTGGACTCCCAACGGAGGCTGCCGGAAATGCACAGCTGGGTTCTGGGAGATCCTTAGCAGATAAATGGGCAATGCAAAGCATCGCCCCCGGCCACTGGCAGCCACGGAGCCACGGCTCTGCCTCCACGCCTGGCCGGGCATTAGTCAATAGTCATTGTCAACAATATTGATAGCGGTGGAGGCTTCTGCTGAGGTCACGGCCATGCTGCCTGCAGCTGCCATCAATAAGAACTTTTATGGGGTCCATTAAAGCCAATTTCTACCCCTGAAGGTTAATGTCAGCAGCTTTTATGTCACTGCTTAATATCTAAAATAAATACAGAATTGACTGGGTAATGTAAACACAAATCTTGCCCCCCAGGCAGAGCCCAGCCCTCAGGCCTTTTCTGCTGAGAGGGGCCTTGCAGGCTGGCGGCTGTGAGGAAGAGCTGGCACGCCGGGCATGTCGTGGGCATTCGGCACAGGCTTTTTACAGAGCCGAGGTTGCAGTCTGAGCTCCGTTCGCCACCCCTGGGTCAGGATGACACGGTGTCGCTAGTCGACTCGGCCTGTGATTTGTTCTGTCTCTGTGCTGAGCTCCTTCAGCAGGCCAGGCATTCATGTAGAATGCAGAGTGGCGATGAATCAAGGGGCAGGTGGAGAAGGAACCTCTTCCCTGTGGTCCTGTGCTCTAATAGAGGCGTAGGGGCAGTGTCTGGGGAAGGCAGGAGGCACAGAGACCACCAGCATCAGCGTCCAGAGAGGACGACTGGCCTCAGGCCCCAGCTGGGTGACCTTGGGCAAGTCCCTTCACATCTCTGAGCCACAGTTTCCTCAATCTGCAAGCGAGAAGCCAGGGGTCACCAGATCTCAGTGGGGCGGGAGCAGTGGCTGGGTTTAGTGAGCACAGAGCTTCAGTTTGGGATCCAGAGAATGTTCCGGAAATGAATAGTAACAATGGCTGGACACTATTGCAAATATGCTAAATGCCTGAACACCAAAAAAAAGTAAAAAAGATTGGATTTTGTTATATATATTTTACCTCACCCGGTTTTTAAAAATAAAAAAATGCCAATGCCATCTTCCCTCCTTGAAGGGCTGCTGTGATTGGTTCTACACTGTTTGAGAAACATCTGGCCTGCGTTGGTCCTTAATTCACATTAGCCATTAATATTAATTTTCTAACGAGCTGGGGGATGATGGTAAAGCAGCCACTCGTTTTGCCTGAGGGTGCCCAGGCGCGTTCCTTCATTCCGCCCGCGGTGTGCACCTGGGCTCAGAGGCCTGCGAGGATTTCTCTGAGCACAATGGATCTGAGGCGAGCATTCCCAGTGGAGGCAGTGGCGCAAGGCAACACTCGGAGGCATGACGAGGCCCGGTCGGCTGGGGAAATGGTGAGAATGGACTGTGTGCTTGAATCCTAGAGCTAAATTGAGCGATTCCCTTAGACAGGAACCAATGGGATAGAAGCAGAGTTACCCCCCAAATCCTCAAGCAGCCCAGTGTCAAAAGGGAAATTATTGGTTAATCTAATTAGGCAGCCAGACTGCTGATGGCAAGCCAGCAGATGAGGTGAGCATCTCTAAGCATGGTCAGAAAGCAGTTCATTACCAGTTCAACTCAGTACATCTTCTACCCTCCCCGGCCCCTTACCCGTAAGAGCTGGCTTTAAAAGTCTGTAAGAATGCGTCGTGAAGTTGCAGAGTGGTCAGGGTAACACAGCAGCCCAGCCCACTGCACAGCAGGAACGACAGGACAGCATCTTCTGCAGCGGGACTTGGGTGCCATTGGCCAAGGTGGGGACCGGACCCCCGTGTTGACTGCTGCCTTGGTGCCAGCCCACACTTCCTCCCAGGCATGCAGAGGCACCTGCTGTCTTCAGGGGATTGGAGTCTC